CTAGGCCAGTAAGCGATTCCTTAATCGATACTTAATTCGATCGCGACGACTTGACGCCAAAGTGGCGCACTTCAGTTAGGAATTTCGAGATCCGTGCTTCAGGATGTTTTTGATGGCACGTTTACGCGCCAGAAGCTATGGAAATCTTTCTGGCTCTCTTATCCCTGTATGCTAATGTACGTTTTTACCCCGTACCCCGAAGCACATAAACAAATTAGTCGAGCAGCCTGCGGCGGTAGATATATTTCAGAATTTTCGAAATTTGACCAACCGTACTTTGACGGTTTCTATAAAATGGAAGAGCGAGGGAATAGCATTGAGGAAAAATAATTATATTGACGGCAGGGACGAGCGAAGCTGAGAAGAGTCTTCCTACGTTAATGTATTCCATTCTAGTGTCGTCTACGTTATTACGTCAGTCAATAAAGAAAAGTTACACATAAGACTCAGTACCAGTGATTCATCCAATGCCAAAGAACAATGCACGAAGAATGCAGCTTGGATGCATCCATGCATCACGGATGCGTGCGTTTGTTTACAGACCCGTAGGAGTTTCAAATAGTACACGATCTTGTTTTATATAAAGTTATAAGGTTAAAATGATGCTTGGCAATTACCTTTATCCACGTAAATCCTCCACAAATATCACTGGCACACGCCGCTCGAGGAAACTTCCACTTTTCCACAGTTCATTGGTCAAGTATTCACACAACTTGCGACAGTCACTGATTTTACCGCCGATTCGATAATCCTTTCACGGTAGCGACGACGTCTTCGTCGTGACACGATAGTCCTCCACGTTGTCGTTGTGTAGTACTGTTGCTACTGTTGTTCCTGCACTCGTCGTACTCGACGAGGAGCGAAGCACGTGAAGATACGTATATCGCTGTCGCGCGCTCGCGGTTTACAACGCAACTGCGCGCGTGACCTGTATATCACAGTGAAAAATTTCGCAGAATAGCAAAATAAGAATCACTATGCAAATGCAGAACGAACGTCGCTCCGAGAATGCAGCCTAGTTTACAGCACTGTATTTTCTTTAATATTCTTGCCGGTATATACGCGGTCCGTTTATCTCGCGTTACGCAGTCTTCTGCGGATTTTGAAGACACGTCGGCACACGCGAGCAGTAATTAAACATTCAAATAGATACCAGGAAAGAAAGACTCGAGTAACGTACTCTAAACGACTGAGCTCGCCGCGCACGACTGCAGAACCACGGCACGGCACGGCACGATGTACCGTCACGTCTCGAGGATAGCGAGCGACTGAGCCACGAGCCGTCACCCTGGTGTGCCGTTGCCGTGGCTTTAGGAAGTGCCGAGTGGAAGGAAGGTTGCGCTCTCTACCCTTCGCACCGCCATTCCGCTACGCAGACGACGCAACGGCAAGAGAGGCTACCATTGGCTCCCTGTAAGAATCGCTTACGCTCATTGGACGACGTGGCCCGCGCCGAAGGGAAATAGTCGAAGTCGGCCCGACGGGGAAGAGGACGCACGTATCAGGCAAAGTGGGGATACCCGCTTCCTCGTAGCTTCCTCATACTGACGGAGAAGGCCTTAGCAGCGAACGCCAGGCATTGTTCACCCTACGGAGACTCTTGGCTGCGATACTTTCCTTCCTCGTCTACTATCCTTGTCACTGCTTCATCTTCATACTCTGTGCACGGCCTTCTTTTTTGGCCACCGCCACTCTTGTAGTAGCTACCATACAAGGATATTCAGGCCAAACGCACCGACCTAAGTTAGCCGGTTCATTTGATTTCTATAATAGAACCAACTTCAGTTGGTGCTTTTGTTACGAACTCTGTACAGAAGAACGACTTCCTCGCGTTGTCGTAGCGACTACGTAGACTGGTTATCAACTGAGCGTAACGCCTTGACACGTACTTATGCACGCACATATCTTTACGGCGTATGTACGTGATTCTGATGATCGCTCGCCCACGATGAAGGAATTCCAGAGATAGGAAAGCGATGTCGATGGTAGTGGCAGCGTCGGAAGCGACGACGTCGGTAAAGGTTATCGGGAAAACTGTCTCAAGTCCCAGTAGCAGCAAAGCCAGTAAGAATTCGAGCGTTAGAGGCTCTGCATAATAAAATCTAGCTTGGCCAAACATCAATAACATAACGCTTATACCGTTTAAGACCTATTTCTCCTATTAGTCGTTCTCGTCCAGCTCTCGGGAAGGCACTCCTCGGCTCATCCTCTTCGGCGTCACACTGTAAATATTTACTGTCATCAATAACAAGCGCTACGGACTCCTCAGGGATTCCTTTGACAATTTTAACCGACCACCAGGTGGGTTCAGTACTTTTCTGGATAATTTCAAAATGGTTCCCTTCTCGTTCACCCGGTTTAACCGATTCATCCTGATGCTGACCACAAGCGGAACTGTGCACCCCCTGGGGACTCCGAATTGTCGACTTTGGTTTTACACTACTCATTGTCTGGTATATATTGCCCTGGTCAACCTGTAAATAGGGAAACTCATCGTTCCAACGCTAAGGAAGCAGCCGGTACCGAAACAAAAGTCTGTCCCGGGTAGACACGGTTGCGGTGAAATTCGACAGTGTTATTATTGACCTGACCGAGTACGAACGACCAGCCCCGGATAATCTCCCGTAATCTTGGCCCAAGCGCAAACAATCCCTTCTCCGGTCGTTCTCGAGAGCACCTCCTTTCGCCTCCTCCCAGCAAACTCTCGCCGGAGGCGTTATCGCCATCCCGAGGCAAAGTCGAAGTGCGAATAGTTAGCCGTTTTTGTAATTTTCTTCTTTCTCGTGTCGCTTTCCGGAAAACAACCGCTCGCTCATATCTGGCAGACGTGGAATCGATTTACTATCGATCAGATCAGAGATACGGATAATCACGATAATTCAGGAACTCCAATTCTTGGTCCCATGAAGCCCAGGCGAGAAAGAGAGACGAGCGTGGAGCTGAAGAATGAAAGAAGATAGCAGCTTCGAAAATTCCACTGGCTGTTCTCGAATTTCGCAACACCTGCTTCCCGCACAGTCAAAGAAAGAGGAGAACTTCATATTAGTGCAGCTTCCCAATCTCGGTTAATCTTTGACACTCTAACCCATCGCCGATAATGACGAATTCATTATCTGTCTGGAAACAATTCAAGTAATTAAATGTATCCGAAAACTTGATACCACAAGCCCGGGCTGCTGGCGGACTCTGTTGTGTTATCCCAGGAAAAGGCAAGCCGGGCCAACTCGAGTTGACTCGAGTCAAGACAATTTGAGTCATCAGACCAAAGGAGTCCCAGTCAACATCGCAGCACTGTTGATAGATTTTGATGGCGTCGAGACGGATGCTGCTGCTACGTAGAAAAGAAGAAGTCAAAGAATTAAAGGAACGAAGTGGGTAAAGGGGCGATTCCCAAGTTGTTGTTTCACTTCCGACAGCCAGGCGATAGAGATGCCGCCGCAAGGGGAAGCAGAGGACGTCGAGACGACTTTTAAAATTAGCCGAGCTTTAGATAGTAGAAGCGAGCTGCGAGGTCCGCGTCGTTAATCTCTTCGTGAAGACGCCAATGACGTCGCTGCCGTCGTCTACGGGCGTTCGAGATTTCTAAGTAATAGCCAATCAAAATTACCCAAGTATCTTATCGGTCATGAAAACAATAAAACTTGTACCTAGTAGAATGGACGGCACTGCTATGAACACCGGAAGCTCTAAGACCCGGAAGGGTTGCTGAGGAAGAACTAGTAAGAAAAAATCCTTCTCTGAATCTTGCTCCCAGGGTGCTTTGGTTCTACAGTGATTTAGGCTGTTGGTATCCTTAGGAGAGTTTCCTGGAAAAAAAGCGTAGCCTGCACCTACACCAACGGTAGCCATAAGAGTCTGAGTATGCGTGGAGACTCACGTGGATAAAGGTAAACGTAAACGTATCTATAGAGAGACAGCAAGAGCGAGTTCCGAGGCTCATAAGCCAGGCTGCCAGGACATAACAGGTAAAACAGGTTTGTGGGCGTCCTGAGCTACCTGTCCCGCTCCTCTCCTTGCTCTCTCGCACCTTCCCTCTCTTTCTCTCTCTCCATCACGTTCGCTCCTCCTCTCCTTGGTAGCGGATCGCTTCAGCTCGCTTTGGTGGGCGACGAACGAAGGACCCTGGCGGGGCCTTACCGGGCCCTCCAAGAGGGTCCGCGTCGCTCGATTCCTGCGGAAGAGGCTGAAAGAGAAAAAAAAGAGAAAAGAAAAGATGAGAAAAAAGCAAGAGCCCCCGCATCGTACAGCGGCTCGTAACTTTTCGAAGCCGAAAGGATCCCTCGATGCGTCGTCCGATGCGCCATCTATTGTGCCGACGCGTGTGAGAAAAAAAATATTCTCGTGGGCGTCGCTGGGACTTCTACGGGACTACCTGCTCCTCTATGATTAATGCCACGTTTATCCGGGACATTACGCGCCGTTCGGGCATCTCCCTGGACCCTCCGATCTCTCTGGTCCTTTTCCTTCCTTCTCCCTTTTATCCGGTTCCTCCCCTTCTTCGCGTTCCTACCATTCCGACGTTTCGAGGGCTTCCATTGGGAATTTACTTGGTGACCTTTTGAGCGTTGCATACCTGCAGCTCACGCAGCTCACACCCTCCGACGAGTACCTCCGCTCGCCTCTCTTTAACAACCACCTGTCGTGGGGTTGGCGTAGGCAGTAGAAATTAAGTAGGTTGTAGGTAGCAGGTAATACGCATTAAGCAGCGTAGGTACGTCGCTGGTCATCCTAGGTGGTAAATCCCTGGGCAAACAGACCAATTAGTTTGGCATTAATTAATTTATTTTATTAAAATCCTGCCGTCTGGTTTAAAGAATTTCGACCAGTAGGACAAGACAAGAGTCGGTAGTTATTATCAAAAAGAGAACATTTTTTAAATTACTAACAATAAATGTTTTCAATTCGATAATTTCACTAGGGAAAACAAGACTTCGACTTTAGGACTTAAAAATTTCAGAATATAATTTGTAGATTATACTCTATACATTTTTTTTGGGGAATTTAACTATTTCAATGTGGCTTTTGAATTACAGATAGTATCAAATTCTATCAGCGAACACAATTCTTTAGCGATATGATTTTAAGATAAGTGACGTTTCGGGTTTATCTTTGAAATATTAGGAAGCTAAATAAAATTTTTGTCACGTTTGATATCAGCTTGTATATTCGTAGCTTAACTGTATCACTTGCTGATCTATTGCTATCGAAGATTACCTGCGCTCCTTCTTACTTTTCTTCAAAGATACATTTCCTTTTGCGCGTTTCAAAGAGCGCGAAGCCGTGCGGCGCCCGGTGGAGCAATACACACGACCGAGACGGTTACTGCGCAACGTGGAATTTCTCGCGGAGTCAAGCGAAGGAAGGAAATTGCATTGCCCAATTAGAAATCGCAGCAAACCGCAAAGACGCCGACGCGTCGACGTCCCGACGCCCGGTGGAAACATTCGAAATCCAAACAACGCTCGAAGAAACTTCATTTCACCTCGATTCTGTCGCGATCGATCACGCGACTCAACGTGGCTTTCCGTGGACGAGCGATCCGTGGTGAGATCGTCGTGGTTTACGTCGTCGATTACATGACGACGCTGACGGCGACCCCTTATCGCCGTAACCCATAAATCATTTGGATTCTTGAAGGTGCCTCCGAGCAATCGCTTCCACTGTCTATGCCCAGCAAGATCAACAGGAATGCAAACATCCTTTCATCCTCCAAGTATTTCCGGTTTCTGCTTGTATATGCCTATGATGATGCTGCGGTGAAAATAAGAGAAAAAAATGAGATACAAGAAAAGAAGATTAAAAGAAGATGATATTGCTCGATCGAAGAGCATACCATGAACTTTGGTAAGTTTTCCTCTTGCCTTCAGTTCAAGCAGAGAGGGGAAGATTGAAGAGAAGGAAGAGACAGAGAGAAACGAAGGGAAGAAAGAATAAGGAAAAAAAAAATAAAGAACGCAGCTCTTCACCCACCACAGCCTCCTCTTTCGGTCCAATCCTCTCTCGCAGAAGACTCATTCCCTGCTTTTGCTCTCACAATCAGTTCAGTCCCCGAGTCATTGCAAGAGGACTGCAGCGAGTGGTCGGTGGAGGTGGCGGAGGCTCAAATGGTAGAGTCAGAGGCAGCCTTCGTCCCGGATGTGCAGGAGCGTCCCGCCGTGAGCGCAGCATCATTACACGGCATTCTTCTGCAACACCGGAGCGGCCTGGTGAGCTATCCAGGATCTCGACGAGAAGCGGTCGCCGTCTCCGTCGCTGCAGGATGACGTAACGTTCGAAGGTGGCGCAAGGTTTTCCAAGTGTCCTCTTCCCTCCTCCATCTACACCTTCTTCGATACTTACCACTCGCCACGTGTCTAGGTCTACGTGGAGAAGAGATCTTAGACCGGTGGACACGTCGCCGATGAGGCACTTGGCTCCCGGTTATCTCCACAACCGTAAAAAGTAGTAGCAGCTCTTGCAAGCTCCTCACGTAAGACGTTCACGAGAAAAATTGGCTCAGGCTGGGAGAAGAGACCTGCAACAAGTGTGAGATTCTCGCACCCCACCCAGCTTCCCGTCAGAGGGTGAGATGAGAGAGAGAGAGAGACTTGAGACTTTTTTTTTTTTCAAGAACAAATAAAACTATCCCTACTCGTTTTCCAGCCAATCGTTACTCCCACGAAAAGATTATGCACTTTTCTTGAAAACTTTTTTCATAATTTCGTAAAAAGGTAAGGATTATGTTTTTCATTGAAAATTCTATTATTTTTCTGGTATAAAGTATGACGCGAGTAGGAGAACACAAACTTGCGAAATTATGAATATTGATAAGAGCAGTTGGATTAGCTACCCTGATGTCATATCAATATGATGTAAGCGGATAATTGTAGTTATTTATTACCGTTTAATAACAAGATTCCACGTTTAAATACGTATACATTATCCATTTGACAAAATTTGTCATATTGAACTTCGACTTACTTTAATTCCAGCTGCTTAAACTGTACAAAGTTGTACAGGTTGTTCCATTAGCTTGTCACGCATTGCCCGTTATCTCATAGTCGAGTACTTTCACATTGATGTATACGATCGGTATAGAATCCTTCAAGATTGGTTTTCGGATAACAATACATAGATTTTGCTTAATGATAACCCAGAGAAAGGAGTAAGTGGTACAATTGGAACTGGAAAGAACGATTAGTGAATCATAAATGCACGAGCGTCATTCCGTGTCGCGTAGAGCTTGTAGAATATTTCTGTACATAATCTAGAAAAAATCATACAAGCAGCTCTGCAATTTTGTAAAACCTCGAAAATTGTAATCGGCCAGCTGTGTAAATCAAGCTGTCCAAATTGGCTATTTCTTTTTACAGTTAGATTCTTCAGCATTTACGCATTTGGAATAATCGCCATATTTTTATATCATATACATATATACGACTTATACACAAAAAATGAATCAGTTACCTTCTTTCCTGTGGATGAATTCCTTACCGTCTGCGAAATTCTTTATACTCTAGTCAATCTTTCTTTTTTTTTTCCTTCTCCCTCTTTTTCCTTATCACGACCCTGAGTCTGTCTCTGTCCGGTCTTTTCGTGTGTTGCAAACACAGTGACTCATCGAATCGCAGTAGTTGGCTTTACCTATTGGACATGACGTACGTATATACGCTTCTCCAATTCCGTTTTGCGGCTACTGTTTCTTTTTCTCTTTCACTTTAAGCAATATTCACTGATAGCAACCACATCTCGTGCTTTGTCTCCTGGTAAAACAGTTGACGTAATCGGCATCCAAAGAACAGGCCAAAGGGGAAATCCTGAATAGTCCGGATGGCCGATAAGCCACAAAAACAACACTAACTTAGGGCGGCAAACTGTCCCAGCAAGAACTGACGAAACTCCTAGCTCCTCTGTTATCCTCGTAGATCATTGGAAAGACATCCTACGGGATCGCAAATAGTCCACGTGGCCGTGAAGCCAAACGTATTTGATGCACAATGTTAGCAGTAACTGTACATGGGAAGTCTAAGAGAAATAAATAGAACACCCTGTTAGTCTCTTTTTCGAAAATTCTATCCCGGACTGTCAATCTCTGCCAATAGCGACGTACTCTATGGCTTCCTAAAGGCTGTGCACAATTGTACACAAGTACCAGGATGTCCCGTAGCCAAGAAAGTAATACCAATACGAATCCAGCGCTCCTACCTATCAAAGTCCATTTTCCATCAACCCTGTCGCTCTCTAGGTATTTTCCAGTGTCTCGAGTTCTTCTTTATCTCTCGAGTCATTGTACTATTCAAAATGGCCGGTTACGCAGAATAAGAGATTTATCCGTTCGTGGTTAAAGTGGACGCGTCATTCCAAATTACTTGGAGAAGCGTTAGTCATTTTCGCGTGCGAAACGTCAGCCAAGTCAGTCTGTTAGGCAGGCAGGAAGGAAGTGGTGAGGGGGTGATGAAAGGAAGGTAGACCTTAACCGATGACGGCATCGCAATTCCACCATTCCTTCGACTTCCCAACGATTCTAATCCGTTGTGCCGTTGAGCTTCTTGTGTATGTATCTCCCTCTCTTCTTTTACTTGGAAATATTATCGAAGACTTCAAAGTATTCACACGCATGCTATTCCTCTTGCGAACAAGACAATGCGTGCTGCTGGCGTCCGTATCGTTACCCTGGTTATATTTATCAGCCGACGCTTCAACCAAGAGCAAATATTTTCGCGGGCCCCAACAACGTCTTACAGACTATGACGCTCATGTCCGTTTTCTATAGCTTGGAAAACTCAGTATTCACGTCGCTCAAATAACATCCTAATAATCATTATGATTGTCTTGGGTACTTAACTTCCTTTTTCTAAAATCAAAATAACTTATAAAACTTACCTTCGAAATTCATAAACGCTCGTTAGTCTCGATTCATTATTGTCCAATTTTGTTTCGTCTCGAAATTTTCTAATTTCATGGAAGCTTTTGATTTTATACTGCCCCCCTCAATTCTTCTACATTTCCATTAGATTAGATTTCAGATTATCGTTATTGCAACGAATTAATCATATTTCATTTTAATATTTTTCTTTTTTTTTTCCTTTTCCTCAAGCAACTCGAATTACAGTCGATCGTCGTTTCCCGGAAGTTGAGTCGCGCTGGTAAGCCTTGGCCGGAAAGCGAGCAAGTAAGCAAGTGAGCGGCCGAGCGATGATTCCATTGTATGCACGGTTCGATTTACTCTGACGATTCTTAGCGGCATTCTCACCATACAGGTAAGTAAAGTCAAAAAATAGAGTTACAAAAACATACGCCACGAGTTCAAGGGTTATATCATACTTCAAATAAGACTGAATTCAATGCAGTGGCCAAAATTAGGTTACCTCTTGCTCAGTAATGAACGTGCTTGACTGCGAGAGTATTACCGTAAGCGATTATATAAGAAGCATGTGTAACACGTGTAACACTAAGCCACATGCGTACCTGATGTACACGCATTAATATTAGTACCAGGACACTTTCTCCAGCTAGTAAATTCTAGTCGCGAAAGTATCAGGATTTTACTAATGACCCTAGTAACAAATATCAGTAATTAACATCCCTTGTCATAAACTCGTATGACGTGATATCTTCTTTTGAAAAAAAAAAGAAACAAAATTGACTCCCGGCAGGTATTAATTTAGTTAGTGAAAAAAAAAATAGTCTTTCATAAGCGACAAAGACTGATAGTATAAATTGTATAAAATGGATGAACGACAGAATTTTTATTATCTTGAACGGGATAACCGTGTTATCGCCTATCGGAGAGAAACTCGGTCAACTTACGCAAGAGATCGTAAAAGGCGCCTGAAAATCGGTTAGGTTGGGCAGCGATTGGACCTGGAGGTGATCGAGGCTTACGTTGATCGATCGTGCGTTGTATTTTGTCGTTTTCCACGGCGAGGACTGACTGGTGGAGTGGAAGGAGTGTGGAGGGGGGTAAAGTAAATGACGCAAGTAAGACCCGGCGTCCAAAAGATAATAAAAGAGGATGGAAGCTGAAGAAGAACAGAGCGATGGCCTGGAACAGATGATAAGAGAAGGAAGGAAGAAAAGAAAACGACACTCGGAAGTAGGTGCGTCGAAAATGGAGTCGTTCCTTGGACTGTGCATGCGCGCGGGTAAGCAAAAGGAAAATTGAATATTTATTTCATATCAATTTTTGTATCATGACTCGATCATCGAGCTGAGGTCAGTATGACGTCTTATCGTGCTTATATTTATATCGTAATTTCAGGTAGCGTCTCGTCATCGGTGGGAAGGCCTGTGGGAGAGGACAACGAATCAGCGAAGCATGTCCGAAGGAAAGGAAGCTCCGCGAACCTCAGTTCCGCTCGTTCTCGTCTTCCTATCCGATCGTCGCTCGCTCACTTGCCCTCTACAAATACAAATGGCTGAAGGCACATAGGAACGTAGACGTATATACAGGCGGAGTAGACATGGGAATAGGAAAGGAATCAGGCAGGTATATTCTCTGGTCTGTACATGGATACATGCATCGGTAAGCGCTTCCCTGGCATCGGCCACTTACCTCTTTTCACATACTCGTCACACTGGTAGCGCGAGACACGCTTCAACGAAATGACTCGACTCCTTTGAAGGAAATAAAGAAAAAAGAGAAAGAAAAAAAACAAGATTATTGTTAACAGGAGGAACCGTACGATTCCACCTTGCTCTGGTCGTTCTATAGAGAGATCGGCATATCAGCCTTTAACGAAGCCACCGGGAGGAGGAGGAGATGGCGGTAGACCAGGTTGAGTTGGAGTCGAGGAGCGAGGTAAAGTATCGGTTGCGCAATCTTGCCACCGATATTATGCAACCGTGTGGCTTCCTGTTGTTATCTAACGTAGAGCAGCACGATCGTCCGGAACGTCGAGACGCCGATGGAACTTCCTTGGGGTATCTTTCTGGATCCCTTGGCGAAGTGGGTGAACGTGAGATGAGATTTCAGGGTGGGGATAAAGCGGGATCAGAAGGGAGAATGAAAATTTGTCTGGTTTACCAGGGAGAGTCGAAGAGAGGGTTTAAGGAAAGAACCTAACCTCGCTTCGCTTCAGTTCTCGAGAGAGGCGTGTACCTGCACGCAACAATGCTCCATGCTAATGCTCGAAAGTGTCGCTGATGCAATGCCAGCGTTAGGAGCAAGCAAGATATAAATTGCATATTTATCGGCGTCCCTCCCCAGCCTTGGATCAGGCACCTATATATCCAGTGTATCCAGTTCAGAGATCGCAATCCAAACGAATGCGTTCACGCTCCCGTTCTATTCCATCATACCTTTACACGGGAGCGTTGATTCTCATTGTCGCTCCATGAGAACGTGCCGAAAGACACGGGACTAATCAGCCGCCATTTGGCTTCTTGATCGACCAATCATTAGGAATCGTTGTTCAAGGAATCTCGAAGAAGCCGCCGGGAGCTATTGGAGTATCACATGGCAGAGCGGAGTGGGACAAGAGAAGAAATATAGAGAATACATGCTGCTATCTAAATTGCAAGGGAGAGTGGCAGTATACACGAGGTGGAGGCGGGAGTCTCGAAAGAAAAGGCGTAGGTCAACAACACTGCTTGCGATATAAATCAGTGGCTGGTTGTGCAACGCTGATTTATCGTCGTCGGGACGCAAGAGCGACGGTCCTCGACGTGCAACGAGAGCTGTAGTTAGGATCAAGTCTGCAGGAGTCGGGAAGTCGAGAAGTCTCAGTTATCAGACTTGACCTTATATCAGTTCCTTGAAGATGGTCCAGAGTGACGTTGAAGATTAACAGAAATTAATGCTGGATAATTTTATTGGTAAATAGGTGATCGGCTCATCGCTCCTAGGTCGACCGACTGGCCCGTTGACGGATAGGATCCACACACGCCCTGTAACCGCTGGCAATCTCGCTTCCGTGAGTCAATATTAGTACAAGGCTGATGTCAACAAGCGGTCTCGGAGATAGATAAATTATCAACCGAATCGGCGCGCTTCTACATGGGATTCTGGAATTGTGCGTTATCGTGCTTCTTCATACGAGACGAGAGTATTTATTTTCGGAATGCTTCCTCTTCTCCCCTTTCGTTTAAACGATTTGGTGATCCCCTTTCACCTGGTCACGTATATACTCTCTGTCATAAAGATTTATTTACAGTGATGCCGATCGATCCTCATCTCAGGAATTATCAGCAGTATTGGCTCAAGGTTCCCACGAGCGGACGGACGCTGGGCGTAGACGTCCAGGACGCCGTCGACACTGTCTCTAGGAGGAAGTCGAGGAAACCATCCCGACGCGTCTTCCGCGAGTCTCCCTCCCTTGGCTCTATTCTCGGATCACGATCCATCAGGCCTAGAAGCTCGGAAGCTGAGAAACTGAGAACCCGAGTGGTCCGGATGATTGTTTGACTTTTCGAGGATACCCACTGTGCGTTGCTGCTTACTTTCAGAGCCACAATCTGCCTGACTTTGGTCTACCTGTCACGCTCTTCTCTTCCGGTATACGATAGAGAAAGAAAGAGAGAGAGAGAGAGAGAGAGAGAGAGAGAGAGAGAGAGAGAGAGAGTCAAACAATGATTCGAAGTAGCTAAAAGGAATCCTAGAGCGAAACAGTACCATGAAGGAAGGAGATAAAGAGAAAGAGAGAGAACTTATCGTGGGCTGCATTCTTTCTTTCTTTCAATCCGTCTAGTCATATCACTCTGTCTCTGTCCATCTCAGTCAGCGAGTTATTGTGCTTATAAATAAGGCGACCTCTCTCAGAGGAGGTGCGCGCTGTTCACTGTTCAGTTCCGGCTTCCAGTCCCCTGAGTCTCGCTATTAATACCCGATCCTATTCTCTCTCGGCTTCTCTCGCTCCTCTCTCTCTCTCGCTCTCTTCCACGGCCAGTGAAGCGGAGACTCGGAGAGTCTAACTGCCAGTGCTGCCAGTACCAACACTACAACATTAACAACTGATGTCTCGTGCACGAGCGTCCCTCTACACGTCCTTATACTCCTGTTCAATCTCCTCTACAGAGTCCAGCGACAAGATTGCTGCTATTCAGAAATGCCCCCGTGCACCAGCAATCATAGTTCACTTCTAGTCTTTGGTATTCGGTACTTGGTATCCCAGACAGTATCAGTATGTAAAACACGTGTTTGTAAAGGCAGAGAAATTTTGACTTTTTTTTTTCGTTTTCCTTTTTTATGTATCCATGGGACCTGCTACCTCAAGCTACTGCTGCCAGGATACCGGATCCGGAAATTTAATTTGGAAAGAAGAACTCGTAAAGTCGACCGACTCCAAGCTGAGGACGTAACGTTTCGTAACGCATTTTGCCTTGATGGAAGCCGGACGTGTTATGCCAGAGCGACGGGAAGAAAGTGTTGCGCGAACCGTTGCACTATGATTATTAATAAGGATCGTTAATGCGAGCGCGCGCTGGGAATCACCACTGGAAGTTGCTGGAACGAGAACGCCTGTGTAAAGCTACTAGCTGGTGCCAGTAGGAATAGGTGAGAAGTAACGTTGCTCGAGAACTGAAAAGAAGAAGAAGAGAAGGAGGAAGAAGAAGAAGGAAGAAGAAGAAGGAGAAGTGTCTGCGTGTTATAAGACTCGTAGCCTCATGGGACAATGGAAAGAGACATTAGGAGGCTAATGTTTCCTGGTGGAACGCATGGCGTCGGGAACGACTAGGTTGGCTTCTCGAGTCGTCCACGTCGGCTAACTTTTCATTAGGGAATATTGACTCGTCCGTCCGAGTCCGAGCCATCGGTCATTAGTCAGACAGAGTTAGCTGTGTGAGTCGACCCGTATCCGTGTGGCAGCAGCCAAGTATCATGGCGCAGAGGACAGGGTGGATCCTCATGAGCGTCCGAGTCTACCGCAGAAGCTGTCTTCGACGTGGTCGTCGTGAATTGAATTTGGTATAAGACCTGGCGGCGACCCTCTGGATCTCTCGAGACTTTGAAACTTGGAAAATTACTTTACATAATAATGGCCGTCTACGAGGCACGAATGACAATCGTTCCCTCGTTCGGAAGAACCCGTGAGACATTGGACGATGCTTTAACGAATATTAAGGCGCAGGAAAATCTTGGAGATAACGCTGGGAAACCGAAGAAGCTTCAGGATGACCTGGACGGGACTGGGAGTCTCGAAAGTTACGCCATTTTGGATACGAGATTGGATGTGAACTCTGAAGGAAGATACTCGTTCTAACTGAGGAACGTGGAACGAAGAGAGTATACCTAGACCGGAACAGAAATCCTGGCAGCCTGGCTGACTAGATGGCTGGCTGTGAGGCGTTTCATTTCCTTGGCGACTTCCGGCAAACGCGACGCTTCCGCCATATCGGGGCCGCGCGACGACCGAGTCGGTCCGTGTTCCTGCGCTCCGAGTTCCGGTTCCGGTCCCGCCGCCACCTCCTCCTCTCTCTCCATCTTCACTCCAGCTCGGATCTACCTCCTCATGGCTCCCGGAGCGCCTTTCCGTTCTCTCCGGCGTTCTCTTTGACTTCCGTTCGCTCGAGCTTCCTCCGCTTCCAGGGTTCCACTCATTCCCCTTCCGCCGCCTCCCGTCCATTTTCACCCGTTTCCTTCGTCCCCTCCCCCTCCGCCTTCCCTCCAACGGCTCCTTCCCTTCCGGCGAATACCCCGCGAAATACACTCACATCGCGACCACCTACAGTCGACCTCGATCGACCTTAATTCCAACGAAATTTTCTACTTTTTAGTCTCTAATCTCCCATTAACTTTTCTCCTCGATTTACCTTTCTAGACTTTCGATATGGGTTCACCTGCGTACAGGGTTCGATTGCGCAACCACTAAGCAACCCCATGAATTAGTATGCCGGCTCGTGCCGAGGTATTACGTATTCCCGATGGGAGGCTGCGAGACTCTCGTTACATTACCTCTCGTCTACGCTCCGGATGTACGTGCGTAGCGTTTCGCGATCCTCACCTGTTAAGCTAGTACTACCAATAGTACCAGTCGTACCATCCTCAAGGGTTAAATATTTATCTGACAAAGAGAGTCAAAGAGGAAGTTAGCACCTCTATTTAAAAGAAATCCCCAAGATCCCCGTCGCTGATCATGAAACTATAATACTCCAAAAAAATTGAAACGACCTAGCAGGTCCCAGGATCTTTTTTTAGGGTCCCGTAAAATCGAAGGGTGTGCACGACAATCTGGGAACTCAGCAACCCCTCGTCGGCAATGCGCTATTAAAGCGTCTAATCTCGGTCTAAGATATTCCATAGGCAGACCCAGCGTTACGACCTGTTATAGGCATCTCTTCTTGGCTTTGGGACGCCCGGGAGGCTTCAAGATTGAAACCATATGTACGAGGGTTGAAGAACGTCGCCCGAGTGGCTCGGGGGTTGTCGCCGAGTATTACGACGCGACGCAGTTACCAGTTACGTTATGCCACCTGCTACTTGTGAGCTTAAGGCGCGTTTACGACCCGCGACAGTTTGAGGATTCTTCGTCAGGACTTGTCCCGTGGGACGTCCTTGCGAATTTCATCCCTTGAGTTCCAGCTCCCCTAACTACGTTAGACGAGAGTGGACGAAGACATTAAGGGAGGTGGCCGGGGGGGTCGGGTTGGGAGGAGTGAGGGTTGTAACTGTCGCCAAGTGCAAGGGCAAGGACAGGCATAAGGGCTGGGGCGAAAACACGTGTGCCGCACCCTCCTACGGGGGTAACCTTTCACACGCTCCGAACTGAGGAGTCCAGACAGCCTGGTCAGGAATTCCCGGTTACAGCCGCTCCTTCGAATAGGCGATCTACATATCCGACGTATCCTACATATCGTCGTGTACGCGTTACGTGCTGGACGTAACGACCTCATGATTATAAGTAATTGCCGGTTGCTGATGGAAAACTCATGAATCACGGAGATCGCTTGCCGATCGAGGCGAACCGGTCGGCTCGACCTCCTCCTTGTATTCTCTTTCTTTACCTTCTACGTGTTCACAGGTTCCCCTTGCAGATCGAGCACCTGGGATTGACTTTAAGTCTGGTTTCCAAACTGTCGCAGAGATTCTTTTACGCGAAAGAGCCAGCTGGGAAGGCCGAAAGGAAGCTTTATTCAGAAGAAGCGATCACAGGTGATGAAATACCTCAAGTTCGTCGACTCGTCTTTCAACGCCATCTTCTTTTTTTTCAGGTTGGTTAAATTCGAAGCGAAAACCATGCTGAGGTCGTAGCAGCCTCGTCGACTACTTGAGGATCCTCTTAATGTCGCTTAGGAACGTTAACGACGCGTTGCTGACGAATGGTCCTCTTCTTGCTCACGCACTTGCTCCGGGGATGATCCCAGGAGATGCTCGCCCTAACCTATCCTTTGGATGTCACTCTTAGTAAGTAATGCTATATATATCCTAGTGGACGTTCTTTTTATCGTTTGCCGGAAATTCAAGGGTTCGTCCTGACTGCTCGACGTTGATTCTTTCAGGAGGGTTCAATTCTGGAATCTCAAGGGACAAGTGTCGGACGTAACACGTCACCCTGCGTATAACCTGCGACGCACTTTTACACACACGTGTTCAGCCGACTGGGAGCAGCAGTGCGTTTCTAACGAAAATTCAGGGACGCTTCGCTGGCGTCATCCGACACCCTGGATTCAGAATATGCAAGGGAACAGTAGAGAGAGGGGTGCGGATGTGGACTCCCAGCATCATCCCCATGTGTCCGACTAGCTCGTAAAACCACACATGCCACCATCTGTGCACGCGTTGCTCTCCTACGTTACGACTACGTAGGTTAATTTTTATATATAATATCGTATCCTGCGATATTTCGATCGGCAGCTCATGGAAACTGTCATGACTGTTTTTGCGGTTAACCTAACCCAGAAAAGTGTTGCACTTGCGTAATTTTAATGCGAAGGATGCTGATACCAGGATTCGTCACCCATCTTCGTTATCCGCGTCCTCAGGACATGCTCCGTTTCTATTAATAGTCGTGACAACAATCGGTAATTTCAACTCATCACGATATTGATATCATTCACAGGACTTTAGCGACAATGAGAATCCGCCTTGTCCCTCCTCAGCTAAAATGTTTAAATAAAGGATTGAGCCACCGAGTGCTGCTCGGTTGACCGCAGAGAGGAAACCGCTGCCGCGTTTCAACAGAGCGTCCGATTTCCTAATTTGGATCGTTGCTCGACAGAGAAACAGAAATGACAGATCATTTACAAAAAAGAGTTGGATCGCAAAAAGGTGCGCGACAACAATTTCGCACTTTGCGAACACTTGTCAAGTCTCGGGCTATGGATATAATAATTTGCGCAAATGGGCAAGGCTAAAACTGGCAAGATTGGAAAGGATGATCGGTAGCCCTATATCAAAGCCGAGAAGAGTAAAGAGAGTAGGTGAAGAAGGGGGGTTTTACGGGTGGGGAGGATGCAATTTCTCTGCCTGTGGTCTTATACTCAACCAAAGTCACAGAAAGAAATGGCGGCGGGATGTATGTATATCTGTATGCAAGCATGTGCTTCTACTTTGTCTATGCTCGTATTGCGTGTACGCCGCGAGCAGCCGCCCCCCATTAACAACGGCTTTCATCTTTATAATTCAACCCTCCCTCAACGCTACCCTTCTCGATCCATTTTACCTTCTCCCTTAATGCTTTTTTATCATCCCCACCGTGTCATCCCGTCACGTCCCACATGTCGCCCATTACGCTCATTCGCCCGCTCTCTTTATTCTCTGGCTACATCTTTTGGCAGAGATCTGTTTTTTCCTCGTTAAGGCAATTTTACAGTCGCGCCAATTGCATCGTCCGTGCTGCCAGCTACAGGGAGAAAATCGATTTACGTTTCCTTGTTTCCTATAGGTTCTGTACGCAAGTCAATTTCAGAATTAAGTGAAAAACAAAGGATCGACTTCGTTACAGAATATGATAAAACCGTAGAATATATAAAAACAATTTTTTTTTCAAAAACTCACCCTCGTGGGGGTGTCTGACGTTATCAGGACCTGGGACCATTTATTTTTCCAAGTCTTTATTGCGCAACGAATTGCTCATAGAAAATCGCCGTGTAATTCCGATTGTCGTTTGCCACCGCTCTCACTAGCTTCCCTACTATTAAGGGTGCGAAGCGTGAAAGCGGGACGAATTCACCCCTGCGTATAAACCCGCGACTAGATATTCCCCCCAGCAACCCCCGTCCCGCCGATCCTAAGAGATCTAAAAAGGTTCCTGTGCCCCGTTCTGCTTGTTCGCGTTGTCCAGGAAGACGGCATCAGGGGTCAGAGGTAAAGGGAGCAGACAGCAGCGATTGCTGGGAAACTTCATTATCCGCGGTAGACTGAAAGGGGGTAGAACGGGGCGAAAGGGGTAAGAGGGCGAAAGACCGGAATGGCAGAATGCTAAAATGCTCCAAGGGTGGAGAATGCGTCGTTCCTCGAACTCATGAGTACCTATGGCAGGGAGCCGGAAGAAAATAAACTCTGTGAAATCTCGCGAGAGAAAATAATGACGTCGATCGGTTACCCGTTGCTCAGAAATCGCTGTGTAGCACGGCAATATTTCTCAATTAAAGGACGCAATCTGTTTCAGGGAGGGTCCATGTCGCCTGGTGGTCATTTCTGGTACTAGGACTACATCGGACCTAAAATCAACTCTGCCTACTCGCTTGATTCAGCATTCGATCCGGCACCGCAAGAGCATCCTGGAGCAGGCCAAGAGACGTCAAGAAGAGAGGAGAAGCAGCGTGCGAAGCGATCTCACTTGAGACAATTGCTGCCGGTAACGTGACCGTTGCTGCCTCCATCAAGCTTCATCAGGGTGATTAGCGAACGACGTACTCCGCGGGTCGTCCCTCTAGATTAGCCTCCACCTCCTCCATTCCATCGTCCCTCTTTCCAGCATCACCAACACCATCACCAGCAGCAGCCACCTCCTTCTCATCTTCTATCGACGTAAGTCTCTCTCTCTCTCTCTACATCTCTATACCAGTACCTCATTTGACTCCCCTTACATCGCTACGCCTGGGTCAATGACACGCAACTGTACGGTCTCATGTATGCTTCTCTCATGACGAAACTTGAATCCCCCTCTTGTCCTCGCCCCTTACTCTACTTATTCTTCACTACTTACTCTTATACTTTGCTCTTATGCTTGCGCGAGTCTTACTTGAATCTTCTTCATCTTTTTAGTATATTGGTGATACTGATGCTGCTGATACGAGCCTGGTCCTGCTAGGAATCATTGTACCGGAGGGAAATCTATTTGGGCCCCTCAAGAGGATCACGCAACGAGTTGACCCTGTTATACGAGCAGGGCTAGGACCTTGAAGCGTCCGAATGCGCCTACTCTGGGCCCACTTTATTCACTCCCAGAAAAATCTATATTAATTTTAATGGTTAAGCTCCCTCGGCTCTTTGAGTAACAAGGGGGTGGCCACGAGGTACTGTAGCGTGTAGTGGTATTGATGTGGGAAAAATCGCGGCCACGGATTTACCTCGTGGACCAGTAAGCATCGTTAATGGGGTCTGTTTGAATTATCGTTTGTTAACAGCATCCCCTCTTTTAATTAATTTTAATTCTTTTACTTGGCCACTCTCACGATTTTATTCGGGTCTAGTTATCGTACAGCTCTGTAGCTCATGTTTATGTCTTGTAAGATGGATTTTGATTTTTTGGATTTTCATATAATTGGAAATTAAGAGGCCGCAAGCCAAGTTTATACGGCATTTGGTATACGTCGCGTTCAGGGGTGTAATCGAGTGAATTCTGGTGGGAGAAAAGGAAGAAAGATGTAGTGGCTAGCAGAGGGATAGATTGTGGACCAGGGGGGTTCGCACAGAGGGTGAAGCACAAACTCAGCAGTTTCAAGCATAACCGCTCTACGACCCCCCGTCAACCCCCTAAATCTCGCCGCACCCCGAGTGCGCGCTTAGCGTATTAGTCATTCGTGGCGCAGCTGGGAACGGTCCCCAGGGTGCGAGTCTCCCCGTGAGCGAATCAATCCGGGCTTACCGGAGACTCCAGAGACACGCGGATGTGTGGGGTACACACATGGATGACCCTCTGACCTATGCGTGAACCGGTGACGGCACTTTTATCTTTACTTTCAGTGAGGTCACACTGAGCTTTATGCTAATGGAAATGTCTTTTCTACATTTTAAGGTAAAACCATTATTTGTAAACTTGGAAAGTTGAAGGGTCGAGAATCTCCGACGTGATCTGGTATCAATGTTTCAGATGACGGAGATACGTCGACCAGGAAGTTTAATTGATTTTGGAGTAGTTACCAGAGGTCGAGGCTCAGTCTTCGTCGCCACTTGGAAAGCGACCTTCGACTTCAAAGGGGCCATCGGGGATATCGGACAGGGTGAGCTGCCAATCGGAGTATGAAATCGGGGGCTGGTCTCCTCCTCGAGCTTACCCTGGTAATCAATATCAAACGATGTACAGGGGCAGCCCTCTCCTCCTTTTGGGTTCCAGCCGGTTCTTGCCGTGGGGGTGAACGTTGTTTGTCGGAAATGGGGTTCCTGCTAATGCCCTGGTTAGTACTCCGGTTTCCTTTGTACCCTGTGGCACCCTTCCTGATGCAGAATGCAATTTAAGCCCTGGACCCACGTGCACCCTTATCCTCTCTCTCCCTTCGACCCTTTAACTAGACCACGTGGCGGGATCTATATATCCGAAACCACCCCTTGGAGCGTGGCCAAGTCCTCTCACCTACCAGTGCCTACCATTGCTCACGCTACTATTTCCTCCCATCTCTATGAACTTCCCTTTAACAATGATTTCAACCCTTAGCGGCCGAATCAGCCCTTCCTGGTAGCTGCTTTTATCAGTCGCTGTTCCCAAGGGACGGAGAAGAGGAACGTCTGGAGCGAAGCTGCTCAATTTTCGAGGGAATCGATCCTGGCTCCTCGAGGATAGCTTGCTCGATCCCATCATCCTCTAAGAACCCGGAGGAAGACACCTACGTGTTTTGCTGTTACCAAAGGGTGCGCTGCCGTCGAAAAACATACGGATAGGCGTGCTTTATTCTAAGCTGCGAAAGGTCCAGCTACGTCGTCGGGTTCCTTTGTAACCTAAGCTTTGTATAAAGGAGTCTTCACACCGGGCCAAGGCGCTCCTGCATCCAGCCACTCTAAATGATGAGATTTTACCGAGCGTGGGGAGCCGCATTAAAGTATTGCACCATACTGACGATGATGCTTCGTGTGGCAGCACCAGCGGCAAGAGGGACGTTGACTGGACTAGCTTTATGGTCGCGCCGAACAATGATACACCCTGACGCTATTGTAGTCAAGCTAGTGAGCGAGTCGGAGAGAGAGAGAGAGAGAGAGATCTTTAGTGGGGAGAGAGAGAGGGACAGTGAAGGAGCGTCGCACCGGTGACAGTCACTCGCTGCTGATTACACGGACCATTATGCAAGCACAACGTCGACCGCGTAAAAAAAAAGCTCAGCCTCCCTTGACTTTTACTCATTCCCCCCTTCAAGTTTACTTCTGCTCCGTTATCCATTCCATCTTTTTTTTAGTCTTTCGCTGATTTTGAATTACTAAATTTTGAAAATCATCATTCACTATTTACATTGCCATTTTCCCATCTGCTATTGATCTAATTACAGTATTCTTTTGACTCGTGATTCGAAACATAATTCGATAGGATTTTTTTATAGACAGTACGAATACACCGATACAATAAATGTAAATCGTCAACTGGGTTTTTCCAATAATAATTATCTCAACTGGTTAATGTTAGGTTATGGAATCAAACGCTCAGCAAGTATATAAAACTGATATTTATTATCACGAATTAAATTAGGTACCTGACAATATTGCATATCTATGATAATACCGTATCAATTTAATGTCTACAGATAAGATTGATACGTCACCAAGAAACGTAGAGAACTTAAAAATTTTTCATAGCGTCCAGAGTAAAATCAAATTTTTATTAACTCACTCTGTACTGACAATTAACGAGTTCGATGAAATCCGTGTATTAGAAATTTATCGATACCGTCACATTTTCGTATTTTTGGTTCTGCCAAAAAAAAAATGTTCGCAACACAATCATTCAAGGACATTCAAGTAGTTCCAAGATCAGGTACCTTATTTATTTTCCACTCGAATTTCTTGGATTTTCGATATCTACATCCGATAATAGCAGTTTGTCGTTAGGTATCTGATAAGGGGCGTGGGATACCGTGACGTCACAGATAAGAATTATTTATTTCCGAAACAACAAGAAAGATCGGTAATAGACATCGCACTTACGCGATAAAATGTAGTCGCTGTGTATTTCGCGCGTATCTCGAGTGTTTCGAATAAATCGTATGAAATAACGTGTATCTACACGTACACGACATAACTACTGTTTGCACTGAAAAGTCACCTATAGCAATAATATACTAACGAGGCATTAGTGGATAATAATAAGAAAAAATTAAAAAAAAAAATACAAGACACTCGTCGAAGACGGTGCTGCGTCAGAGCGTCGCGACGCATTCACGCTTTTCACAGCCCTTTAATTATGTTGTTTCAGTTGGTTATTTCACGAGAGGGGTTGGTCGGGGAGATGAATGTCCATAGTATTTTTGTTATATCAATCACTGACACGAGTATTAATTCCATTGACGTAAAATTCAATCAATTCTTTTGACCAATGAGTTTCAGGAGACGACGCTGAACGTCCATGAAAGACCATAGAGACGAAGGACAATGGCCTTTACATGGCTCTGCATTCCCCTTTCGATCGATCATCGATACCCAATTAGTCCTAGAGGCTCGTTAATTAGTCGATGACCGGCTAATGAATAATTAAAGAACAGGAGCTCCCTCTGCGGGACGGGAGCCAACATCCTGGATTACTCAGATTAGCTGGATCACCAGAAGAGTTGGAGCAAGTCGATACGAGAGCGAGGAATCGATGACTCCGCCTGGTAAAGTGAATTTCCTGTTTTGCTTTTTAAACTATTTTTTGGTAACAAGACCGATACCTTGAATTTAGGAATATAATGTTTTTCAGATGGGATCTACCAAGAAGTATATTCCTGAGGAGTGAAGTTGGCAGAGGAAAAGTTGAGCCTGACGTCAACGTTCGGGAATTTCCGGTTCTACTATATCGTCATACTTGATTGAAGATGCAGGATAGGAAGCAAAAAGGAGAAAGAGAATTCCTGAAACTTTTTACAGTGGAATCATCGTCCTGAATTTCAAGAGACTCTTGCACAGAATCCTCGGGATTGGAATCCGGAGAAAAAAAAACAAAGCTTTGCCAATCACTGGCCAATGAAAACGAAACGCTCATCTTCGAGCGGGAAGTGACGGCAGCAGTGACCATCGTCAGGGAACACCGCGGAACGGCGAGGATGCTGTGCTCCCGAGTATCTAGGTACCGTTTCCAGCGTTCATTGGGTCACCCTGGCCGCGCAAAAAGCTGCTGCTCCGTTGCTGCTCCTCGGATCGGAGGGCAGTCTCGCGACGTAGTCGTTTGCGGTACTTGCCAAGCGTATACCGCAATCTTCCACTTCTTCTTCCACCAACTTCACTCTGTGCTCCTCGTCTCTGCCTCTTCTTCCGCTTATGGCGCACACACGATTTTCTCCGTATTCACGAGCGTTACGTATATAGGATAGAACGCAGAGTGACGCCTGCAGCCATAACCGTAGCTTCGACCCTTCTCTCTACCCGTAGAAGACGCTATTGACACGTTACGGGATCCTGCCTATACCGTACGCCACGAATCCCATGGCCAAACTCTACACTCTAGACTTGAGAACTTCCCTATGTAGTTTTCTATAGTTTATGCAGTCTGGGCATTCTATCAGCCAATCTCATACCATAGCTGCAATGACCTTTTACTAGGAAAAGATTCCACTCGGGTTTACCGATACAGAGAATATCTCGAAATCAAGCGAACGTTCGAGTTCTTCCGGTAGGTGTCAAAAAAAGTATTAATTTTAAAATAACAAAATTATCTTTTTTTTTTTAATTTTCTTTACCTCACGTTGCAGCATCCCGAGTATGCCGATCCACGATTATACGGAGTCTTTAGAAGATGAGAACAGGTAGACGGGACGTAAAGGAGTCTGGTATCCCTACCGGAAGCGAAGGAGACTCGATCAGTGGAGGTTAGAATGAGTCCTGATCCGAAGGAAGGTTCAAGCCTTGGTCTCTCTCGCTCTCCCGATCTCTCGCAGGGTCGCCATGCCGCCACATCGCCACGCGTGATCGAGTTACCTGGAGCGGCGAACGTCGAGGCACAGGTGAGGTTAGTTCACGGACTGCGGGACAAAGAACCGCAAGAAATACCGATACTACCACGCTCCCTGTAATGTTCCTTCGTTATTAAGTCGCTCTCGTGACTACACGTATACCATATTACTGCCGTAGGATATCAATGTACCTCAAGGATTCCGAGTCCTCACCCAGGATTAACGACGGCGACACGCGAACCCTTTCGACGCGAACATCGACACCATCGGCAGTTGCTTCATCCTCCGGCTGCGGTTTCCCTCTCTATGGCTATAATGTCGCAAGATCCTGTACCCCTGTGAATTCGTGCCCGATTTTGGAAACAAGAAACACTATACCTTCCGCCACATCGATTACGAGCTCTTGAGAGTACATGGAAACAGCCAACTTCAGGTTGGTATACGTAACCTTAAATAATTAACAGAACGATATTGATGCTGTAAGTGAAATCAGTCAGACTGTTGTTTATGGTATTTTTATTATGTAATGATCAGATTTATCAATGTATTTTATATCTGTACACATTAACTAGTGTTGGATCGTAAAATTCCAAACGATTCGTTGCGAGTCTACCCGTGGTGCAGCTTGGGAATAGGTCGAGCACGACGTCGCAAATTGCCTGAATTAACACTCCAGTGGGGTCGTCCGTTCGTTGCGATGAAAATCGTCCCTTGCCTACTCAGGAATCCTACGGTAATCCTTGAATATCCTACTTCTCACTGAGTCAAGAGGTTCCTCTCTGGAATGCGCTCATTTTATGAGGGATGAAGTGGATCCGCAGTACTTCTGAAGTCTCTCACTGGATACTGATTGCGGGAGAAGATCTCTTGGTGCGGTCAAAACATCAGCAGCCTGGCTAGATTGATACAAACTGAGTCGAAATGATCTCAATTAGACATTCGGCCGTCGCAAACCGACGACAATTTAGTCGCTACACTTACACTGAACGTCTCAGGGAGCAGGAACTTCGGGACGCCGTCACGTAACAAGAGTGATATATATATATTTTATTTATTATTAATTCTTAGATATTTATTTGTTCATTAGCTGGAATTATTTTGGCCATATAATTGAGAAATTGTCATTTCAAGAATTCATTATGGTTACAGGTTAGAGGTTGAGCTTGTCTAATTAAGCAGCGAGCGTAGTTAATCCCGGAAATGGCAAGTTTTCAGGTTAATCCCTAAAGACTGGTCAATTTCCGGAGGATCCCAGGCGCTCCTAACTTCCGGGAAGGTATTAGGACCCCAGGAGTTTATATTACTTTCTACCAGGACACAGGAAGGTTACCATATTAATCAAAATCAAACATCAACTGTTTCACAAAATGGCATCCAGAGCTTATACTTTGCCTTTTGAAGATCCTACACTTCCGGAAAGAAACGGCACTCGTTCAACGGCAAAGATGACGCCGATGGCGTTCACCGCATGGTTTCGGCTTAGTCGAGTTTGGGAAGTAGGTTAAGTCCTAATTGCGGTTAATTGTTAATTCAGCATCGGTCGCTCAGTCGGCTGCTTGTGCGGACGGCTGCGATTATGCTGTGCTTTGCCTTGGCTCGCGCCATTACGTAAGTTCTTTTGGCTATTTCGGTACGGTTAGTCAAGAAGCCAAGTAAAGTCGTACAAAGTCAATGCAATCTACCGTACAATTATTAATTTTTGTAAAAATTCTTTATTATGCAAATGTCTATAATTGATTATCCTTTGTCAATAGGTATCAATGACGTATCGAATGACGTATTGAATGACGCATGTACCTGGAACCGATGAGATCTAAAATGTCAAGATATCTCTACTAAATCATGAGGCAGGACAAAGGTCTCAAAGCTGGAGGAACTTGTCCAGCGATGGAATGAGGAATAAGGAATGAGGAAGGAAGAAGGTTAGCTGAAGGATTGAAGAAGGAAGCGCGATCCAGCATGGGCGTCATTTTTCACTATTAAGTTAATCCGTTGTCGGAAGAGGGGGCCCACGCCCTGCTGAGATTACCTAGCACAAAGAATTTCAGGCTCGAACGTTAAGCCGAAGGTGGAGGTTAATTTCCTCGTTTGAGCCCTTCTTGAGCGACCTCCACCTCCAGCCTCCCTGGTATCTCTCTGCTGGTCTCTCTTCCGCTGTTCCTCCCCCCGGTACTCCTCCTGTCATCCTTTGACTTTTTGATCCTTCTTGCTGCTCAATACGTTCGTCCAGAAAGTTATCTACGTGCTGTAGCCTCGACGTATCTTCGACCTCCAGCGACCTATCGACCTTTTGACCGTGAACCTCAGTAAAAGATTAAATCCTTGTAGAAGATAGCTACGTGAAATTACCAATTGTCAAACTTGTGAATTATTCAGGAAGTGGACCTAGGACCAGGGGTGCCAAGTGGTAAGCGAATTCTATTAAATAGTATATGGCTCGATCGTGGAGCTTGGAACTTTCAATATGTGACTGACTTCCTGTTTTCCTCACAGACATTACCGTCACCACTAGTGCCGTTAACGTCAACGTCACGGCCCACCCTCCCGGTGCTTTCAACCCTCTCCCGTTGGCGTTCGCCAGCGATGCCGGAAATTGAGCAGAGTCCCGCGTGCTTCCGCTGGGAGCTTCCGCATACGTCATCAACCACCCTCGAGCGAAGCCCGCGAACCACCCGACCCTCCGGAAGAGCCTCCCCTGCCCCACCAAGGTCCCTTTCAACCCCTCGACACCAACCCCCAACCTTTGGCACGGTTGGAACTTGGAAAGGATCGATAGTCATGGCGACGGCGCTCTGCTCGGATTTACCGAAGGGCCTCGTTACGCAAACACCCTTTTTTTCACCACCCCACTGCAAAATATTCTTTCCGTTTTTATCCTGGCGTCCGATTCCTTCGTGGTCTCTCTCTTCTCTCCCACGACCTAGTCCATGACACCCACGGAAACTTCCGATACCAGGACGGACCTGGTAGTCGCGTTTGGTCTTCTATCTAAATCAGACATGAGAAATATCACCCAGTCTGTTCTCCACCTAGATATCGATTCTTAGTCAATGATCGTTTCCGGAATTTTTCAAAATTTCAAAATACCTAAACCCTAGAAACAAGGACGTAATACCTAGGGGATGACTCGGATACAGGGTAGCTGAAATCGGTGGTTTGGGAACTTTGAATTTCCAAGAAAATTCAGAGGGTGAACGTGGAGATGGCATCCGGCAGCGTAGCTGGAATATCAGACCGGCGAAGCTCTTCCCTTCCGGAACGCCCCTTCCGGCACTTCCGCTTGCGTCAGAGCCACCCTTCTACCACCCACCGTTTCCTCCTCTAACGTTACCCTTTTCCTCCCTTTTCGAATCGAGCTTCTACCAACCCCCAACGACTACTCTCTTCAAATCCCAACAACCAATTCTCTCAGTGAAACTGTCCTATCCACCTTCTCGTACACGCATCTGTTATATATACCACCCCTATATTTCTATATATGTTTACATATATCTGTATACCTACAGGAATGTACGTATCAACCCCTACAGCCCGTTTCACACGTTAACCCCAATACAGACTAAGCCACAATCGATAATAAGTTAATGGGGTGACATGTTCAAACATTCACCAGGGTCGGCCGTTCACGCGGTCGACTCTCATCATCTTCAACACCTACACCAGCGCCCTTCCGAAGGTTCAGGCGTTCCTGATTCACTTCCTACCATCAACCGACTTCCGGTCTTTTTTGAGTGACGATCCTTACACATGTAAAACTTTCGACTCCCCCACGCTCGTGAACCTTCCTATATTCTTGACTGAGCAAGATCAACGGAAGCCAAGGCTGACTCTTCGTCCAGTAAAATTTTTTAAACCGTGTTCGACGTTTTTATCGTACAACGCGGCGCCAGAGCTGCCGGAACCGGAAGCGTCCTGATACCAACGACATACCGCCGTCAGAGATACGTGTACGTCCAGGGCTTCGCATTCTGCGCAGTGTAAATTGCGCATCGTCATGATCCTTCTAGAACCTGCGATACAGGAGGACTCGTATATTATCCATATATGCATCATACATGTATGGTAGCAATCTGTATATATGAAGTGTCCATGCAGGCAAAGGAGATAAATATACAGACGGTGAAGTACAGGATGTCAAAAGAAATACAAAGGCAATTCACTCTTTATCATTTCTTTATGAAAGTATAGCAAATATGAAAGAATGACTGATTTCACTTTTTGATTTTTCTATCGAGCATCAATTTCGACTAATCTCGACTTTATCGAGAAATGATTAGACAATACTTCGGTACGATATATTCACATAATCTATTCTGGCTTGGTTTGCTTAAACGGATATATGTCTTTACGTCACCAGTGCTTTGTCATTGTCCGATAGCTATGATTAATGATTGATAACTGATTGCAGTTATCCTTATGCAGTCGAAAGTCTGAATTCTACTGCTTCCGGTTGACGCTACCTACTGGCATTGAAGAACTCGTGAAGTACCCAGAGACCCAGGAGTGCATCAGTTACGTGGACAGGTCTGAAAGACAGGCAGACGAGCGACCCGGCTTCCCTCTGGAGTCAGCGTAGGTCTTGGATCATGAGGTGATCTTGGATCAGAGAGTACGGTTATACGGAGGTGAAGTCGATAACGGAATGAGCGTAGAGAACAGAAGAAAGAAGGACGGAGGACTGCTTCTGGTTCTCAGGATTCCGAAGAGTGGTGGCTGATGGGATCTGGAGGGAGAGGTCGGGGCTTCCGAGGAAGCTTTAGCAAGCTTCCAAAGCTTCGCGGGAAACGTTTCCGGTAGACTGCTGGAGGGAGTCCAGCTACGGTATCGATGCTCAGACTTCCTTTGGCTTCAGGGCAAACGAGGGTCACCGAAGACCCTACCGTTCGTTTGCTCATTTCCTCGTTTATTCCCCGCTATGCCCTGAGCTCTTCTTATCCTTCCGTCGCCTTGTAAGCGACTGTTCCTCGAGGGCGGGACCAGATGACGGAAGCACTCAACGTCGCTTTGGAATTCCGCGACGGATCGATCAGGCCAGGAAGTCGATCCCTGAGCTGATAATCAGAAAAAAAAAGGTATTAAGGCGGCCGGTAGAAGAACAGTTAGTCGATCCGGCACGCTCTGGAAAGGCGACCACGCGGGATTTCCACCTTCCACCTTAACCGTTGACTGTTTTCAGGCTCAGCCACTTGCGACAATGTAACATTGGAGGTTCAAGCTGTAACACATGGGCAGCTCGAAGGAAGGAACGTCCATGAAAAAGATTCCGCGTCACTCGAAGCCGTACGGCCGCCAGTCTACAGAGTCTTCCAGGTCTCCTGAATCGAGCAGAGCTGGTCCTTCGCGGAAGATAGACCTCAGCAAGGTTCCAGGAAACCAAGAGATTCCGATCGAAGGACGCCGGGAAGCGTCCAGGGATCCGGATCGATTCCTGGTCAGGATGGGTCGATCGTTCAATCGATCGATCTGCATGCATCCTGACTCAAGGCTGGGAGAAAGGATCGATCCATGAGGCTGACCTGGTTTGTCACTCGCAGCATGTTTTGTCTTCGTGGGCTTGCTTAAAAAAGAGAAAGGAAACGAAGAGCGCTTAGGTTCCCTCTCTTTCTCCTTCTCTCTCGCTCATCCACACGCATGTGTCGAGCGTGTCGCTCGTTCGCAAAGGTGGGATCGAGATGGCAAGTGAGAAGAGTGAGGGATCTGGTCTCTCTCGGAGCAAGCGACGGCCTTCATGGTTCGCTGACGCCGGTACCATCTCCGATAATAAGCAGACTCGACCTCGTGCCTCTCCAAAGCGAAAGAGCTTCCTCACCATGGAAGGACATTCCCTCCACCAACCTGGACTCAGCGACACCGCAAGATCAGAAGCATCCTGGACCCTGATCAACATCGCCAGCCTCTTTCTCTACCATCAGGCGTCTCTGATCTTGCTACCAAGTGCTACGCAGTGTATACCCACTCGGACCGACAAGATATCAGAAGGTTCTTAATGCGCAAGTGTGCCTCGCATGCTAATTGCTTTCTGAAAAACACGCTTTGTCTCCGGTACGATGCACCGATCCACCAATGTTCCGTACCGGTCGTAAACAGCCTCCAGGCAGACGGGAAGATCGACAACAATATTTCCTCCTGTTTGTCCCTCATCTCGACTGCATCAGCAGGTTGGAGACCTCATCACCTTCAGACGACCGATCCTACCTAACTTGCGTCACGTCGACTACAGCGCCACCGGCTCAATTTTCCTCCCGCCTGCTGCACGCTGCCGTGATCTTTTTATTGTCGCTGCCAATAAAGAGCATTGACAAAGAACTAAAAATCGCTGCAAGGGAAAGATATAGGTACCGTCGGAGATGGAATGCCAAATAGCGACCGGCTGACCTTGGGGGTACTTTCCATTAACTTCCGTCTCGACGCAGCTGATCACATATGTAGGCACTCGAGAAGTGCGAAACGCGACGTCACACTCGGCAAAGCGACGCGTGTCGTCGACTTATCATAGACCTCCGGAGATACAGGAGCACCTGTTATCGCCTTCTCTTTTTCCTAATTTGCGCTGCTAGCTGCCAGCAAGACACTCGCTCCGGATAACAGACATGGCTTCACGTGTGGGAAGCGTCGATGTTACGTGCAACGGTTACGTAGGCAATTGGCCTAACGCGCTAGACGCCGAGCCAATTAAGGAGTCTCCCCCTACTTCCCCCACTTCCCCTGCTTCCCCTTTACCCTCGCGCTTATAGTAATCGGCCTGTCTCTCTGGCTTTGAATCTGCTCTCCCGCTTCCTTTCACCTTCCTCGACCCCGGCTGCGAATTCGTCTGAAGTAAGAGGCCGGCGTTGGGACGTCTTAGGACAATTCGACCCAATGCTCATTACTTGGGGGTTTCACTTCCTTCCTTACTCCCGGTACATCGTCTTCGGAATGATCCCTCTTCTTCGTCTTCCTCGTCTCCTTCTTCATCCGTTCACCTCGCTTCATCGCGATGCGTCCTAAACTAACCGCATTCCAGCCTACGTTGCCACGTTTCGAGGTTAT